CTTTACTCCTTTTTCAGTGATAATAAACTCATAAGGTCAAAATAATCTTTAAGCTCTACAGTAATCCAGCGAAACTCTGCAGGTTGCCATTTTCAAACTCTCCCAGGATGCATTTCAGCTGGAAAGCTAGGACCGTTGCTTTAAGATGATTTTTTCTTTGTGAAACCCACAAGCAAGACGAATAAATGCTTACTTCACAGCAAGCTATATATCGATATTTGGGACTATTTGGACGACGCTAAAAGCGAAAAAGTCGGACAACAGAGGGTCTGCCATGTGAAAATTATTTAAAAAACTACAATTGCTACTCGGAAATTGCGTCAGCGTGATCAGAAGTGACGTCAAAGTCGTTTTGTTGACATTTGTTAGCGAAAGACAAAAACAGTGCACACGCACTGGTTGATGTATTTTTGGAAATCAAGTAACGGACCGCGGAACCGGCCGAAGACAGCCGTGTTGTAACTGAAACGAAGTTGTGTGAGATAAGCGAGCTGTGGTGAAGAGGTGGACACTGAGCAGCAAACACTAAAAAAGGGATAAAGATCAGCAGATGAACCGACGGCAGACGGGAACAAAACAAACCGTGTCACCCTGACTACAAGACTGGCTGAATCATTCACAGGTTAGCCAGCCGCTGCACAGTCATTTGGCTCAGGTAGTAATCTTTTATTAACGTAAGGGACGCTCATTACTAACTATACGGAAGCTTCATGTGCTGAATTTTTAACTCCAACGCAGAATTTTACTTGTCATCATGGTCGTGTAGGGTTACACAAGCGCCGTCCGTTAGTGGAGCAGGTTAGCAGGCTAATGTTAGCTGTAGCTAACCTCCTTTCTTCCTGAAGTGCTCGAGCTGCTAAGTAGCTAGCTGCAGGATGTAGTTGTGGTTGCTAGTCTGCTTTCGTTTCGTATAGTCTTTAGTATAAGTAGCTCGTTAGTTGTGGAGGGGTGACCTGAAGAATGTGAAGCACAATGGCCAACTTTGAAGCTTACCAGGAGTATCAGAGAATTGATGACTACGAGGAGGACTCACCACCAGGAGAGGAGGATTTACTGGTGCACGTGCCTGAGGGCCTAAAAGGTAAACATAATATTAATGCTTACGTTAAAAGTGGTTTCTAATGTATGTTAAAGTTTGTACTTGTTAAGGTTAAAAAGGCTGGCCATCTGCTGACAAATGATGCAACAAAATAAGAGGTTAAGTAAGTTGTAAAAGACTTCTCCCTTTCCAATGGTCTCATTTCTGTTTCAGACTCATGGCACCATATCAAGAACCTGGATAACTTCTTTACAAGGATATCCTTTTAAACTCTGTGAACAAACTGGCGAAAGCCAGAATGATCCCTTTTACATCATTTGAATGTCACTTCTGCTGCTGCTGCTATGGGATCAAATATGAATATTTAGACATTGTGTTACACTGATTGTTATCACTTCACTGTGCAGTCAGCTTACTTATAGTGAATGTCCACACCCTAAATACTTATAGTTAAAATAATTGCATACCTGTTGTAGGGCTGTTTAAAATTTTCCTTAACCATGTTGTTCACATCTATCATTTTCATCAAAAAAATGGCTTTGCCTGTATGATGTTTTCCGAGTTCTTTGAACTTGCGTAAGTACTGAGTTGCACAGAAATACTCACTATGTTGAGATGGCTAAAATATTGCACCATCATAGCAGGTGATACACATTGAATGCAAAACATTAGGTTGATGTGTGTTTGCAGATCTAAGAGGAAATTTGTTTGGCCTTGTGTATGTGTCTGTGAGTTAAGTGCACCCCAGCCTTTGACGACAATACCCTTTTTTTAAGCAATTCCTTCTCTAAATGTTATTTTGTATCTTTTTTTAATGTGGTCATTTATTCTGTTATGACTTTTTCTGTTAGGATTAATCCCTTCACCAACTGCCATGTTAATGCAACATATTTTTTATACTCCTGCTGTTTGTGCTGCTGCCATGCCTGTATGACATTTGTTATTCCTGGTGTTTATCAGATGAGGCGACTTTACTTAACTACAGTGTTATCCACTGATCAGTGTTGTAGTGTATTGCTTATAACCTAATTATTTATAGCAGTTAAACATTAAACACTTTTCATTGTTATCTTTTGGTTTTCTTGGTATTTTCATTAACTGTGTAACCTAATCACTCTCTTTTTTTTTTATCTCACTCTCACAGTCAGCTATTGTTTGTTGTCACATTCACAACGTTCCTTGTCAACTGCGTGGAATACGATGTCCTGTTTGCCAATCGAGCGGTCAACCACACAGGGCCAATCCAGAACCCTTTGGACCGGAACAAAGTCACACTGCCAGATGCCATCCTACCAACTCAGGAGTGCACTGCAAGGTAATGATGGCATATTACAATCCTACAGACAGTTTAGGTGTCTGAAGGAGATTCGTTTTCTTTTTTTTTTCTGGTGGGAAAAGGATGAGTTGACTTAATCTGACAGAATGTACAGGCATGAAAAGTCATGCACATTCCAGGAAGTTTGATTAGACACTTTGTTCTCAAGCAGAGTCCAGGATTAGAGACAGGCCTTTAGAGGGATGTCATTATTCTGACTTAATACAGTCGCAATTAGACTTTCACACTAAATCTCTTTATGGGCTGTAAACGATTTGGCAAGAGTGCAAGATACAGTCACATACTCTGAGAAAAGGAAAAAAAAACTATTTAACTGTAACCAGCATGTTTTCTCATTTAATCTAGAAATCTGTTAGAACTCACTTGTGTTTGTAATGCAAGGCAATGGTTTGTCATCAGATTAATTAGACTGGTTTCTATATTTAATTCAGTGGGGGTTTTTTTTGTTTGTTTGTTTGTTTTTTTCATTTTTGGTTTAATTCACCCTGAGATTAGTAGCTTCAACATTTCTGCAACTCATGGTTACTTGGAGGGAGGTGTTTGTTTTGAGAGCTCAGCCTGGCTTTGGAGAACAGAGCGATGTAATTGATAGCTATGGTGAGGTACAGCTAGCCAACCGAGATCCTGACAGCTTGGCTGGGACAGCGAGCTGACTACCACATGACACCTCACAAGCTGACTGCAGGAGTAAGCCCCCCACCTACCCCTCCCACTCCTGTGTTGTCACATTTTTTTTGACAACATGTAGCCTAGACTCAGCTTGACTGCAGCTCAATAGTTGTTTATATCAAAGGCAATGACGTCCGACTGCTTGGATTTCTAATTTGGGAACAACTTGTCCCACAGTTTAGGCTCTCTCTGTCCTCTTCATACCCCATATCTAATTTCCCTCATAAAGCAGCTTTAAAACGCTCGGACTGAAAACAAGATTGTATTTTGTTTAATACATCTGAATGTTACCTCATAAAGAGCTTTTACAGTTGCACTGAAATTTGCTAATGTTTGTTTAGACACATGGGAACATTAAAGGGTTTCCTTAAATTTAGAATATAATGAGCAGACATCCACCACTGTACTTCAAACACCCCCCCACCAAAAACATGTTAACTGAAGTTTACTAGATTACTCCATCTAAGATCAGCTGTTGCATACTTCATATAAATATTATGTCATTAGATAATGAAGAGCCAACTTAAATTATTAGTAGAGGAGAGGGGAATGTGTGTAGATAGATGGATAGATGGATGGATGAATACTTTATTAATCCCGCAAGGGAAATTGTTGTGTTACTGCAGCATGATAAAGAATAAAAATAGTACTGTCTACAATAAATGACAAATAAACAACACAGTTAAAATAAAAGTGCCACAGATGCCCAGTACGGGCCTCATACTGAGATAGTGCAGGGATTTTATACACACAACAGTGATTAAAAAACAAGTAAAAGTATAAATGAAGTTAGTTAAAAACCATAAAGTATGACCGACATTGTGTAAGAGATTTTACAATGACTCTACATTATGTACAGTGTTTACTATGTATGAATTGATACATGAAGTTAGCCATGTTTTAAAGGAGCTTTTGTTTCTGTTCAGGATTCAAGAGAACAGCTGGATCATATTCCTTCTCATTATGGCTGCTATATTCTGGATCTATCGTCTTATTAAGGTCATTTGCAACTTTTTGAACTACTGGGAGATCAGGCAGTTCTACATCAAAGCACTGAAGATCAGAATGGTGAGTGCACCAACTTGAGATGAGTATTAAGGTCATTCAAACAAATTTTTTTGACTCATGTTCATTGGTATGCAGAGAGATGATAAATCTCAGTGTTTTAAATTGTGGCTTTGTCTCAATGTGAGTGGGTTCCTTGTGTCTTTCTCCCAGGATGAACTATGCAACTACACATGGCAGGAAGTCCAAGACCGTCTAATCAGCCTCCAGAGGGAACAGCAAATGTGCATTCACAAGAAAGAGCTGACAGAACTTGATATTTATCACCGGATCCTACGTTTTAAGAACTACATGGTGGCTATGATAAACAAATCCCTGCTGCCGGTGCACCTGCAGCTCCCCCTGCTGGGCAATGTGGTCTTTCTAACCCAGGGTCTGAAGTACAACTTTGAACTCATCCTTTTCTGGGGCCCTGGCTCGCTCTTTCAGAATAAGTGGAATCTGCACCCCAAGTACAAGCGCAGTGGAAACCGCCTGGAGCTTGCCCAGCAGCTCAGCAGGGTCATCCTCCTGATGGGTTTGGCCAATTTGCTGCTATGTCCCTTCATCCTAGTGTGGCAGGTGCTCTATGCTTTCTTCAGCTACACAGAAGTGATCCGCAGAGAACCTGGGAGTTTGGGCGCACGTCGATGGTCCCTCTACGGTCGTTTATACCTGCGTCACTTCAATGAGCTGGACCATGAGCTGCACGGGCGTTTGGGTCGTGGCTACAAACCCACTTCCAAGTACATGAACTCGTTTACATCGCCACTGCTGACTGTGATTGCTAAGAACATTGCCTTCTTCTCAGGCTCAGTGCTGGCTGTTCTCATCGTACTTACAGTCTATGATGAGGATGTTCTGACAGTGCAGCACATTCTGACTGCTATTACTGTGCTGGGGGTGACAATAACTATCGCAAGGTGAGTCCTCAAAGCAAGCCCACCCAGTCAGTCATCAAAAAACAACTACAATATACACTGTTACAAATTATTTGTCTATTTTTATTTCATTTATTCAGCTGAAAGCTAATCAGTGAAGTAATTCTTTAAATAACTCACATTAAAACTATGAGCAAGTATTAGATATTCTTCATCAGGTACTCCCATCTGAATTTTTAACTTTTTATGATAAAGCTTTTCTCTTTTGCTTATCCATTTGTCTCATATGTGCAGGTAATGCACAGCTGTAATGCTGACATTTTGTACCTGTCCCACGCCAGGTCTTTCATCCCAGATGAGCATATGGCGTGGTGTCCAGAACAGCTGCTGCAGTGTGTGCTGGCACACATTCACTATATGCCAGACCACTGGAGGGGCAACGCTAACAAGAGTGAGACCCGTGACGAGGTGGCACAGCTGTTCCAGTACAAAGCGGTGAGGAATGCAGAAACTCAGTGGATAGGAACACACTTGTCACACTCAAGTCAGACTGAAATTATGTGCTTGTTCTGGCTGTGATGAGGGTTTTTAATCCAGGACCTGGGTAATGCTAAAACTGTCAGATTGGTCACAGTCATATTTTTATAGGGTGTACATAAAATAAAACGTACAGAACCAGAAATTCATGTCATCTCTGTCCACTCAGGTGTTCATCTTGGAGGAGTTGCTCAGTCCTATTGTCACACCCTTCATTCTCATCTTCCTCTTGAGAAACAAGTCTCTAGAAATAATTGACTTCTTCAGGAACTTCACCGTGGAGGTCGTTGGAGTTGGTGACATCTGTTCCTTTGCCCAGATGGACATCAGACGCCATGGAAACCCAACAGTAAGACCCATTCCTTTTGTCTGGCAGGAGTGAATGAACAAATGTCTCAGTGAAGGAAGACTGTGGAAAAAAAATGATATCAAAAAGGTGATCTGTCTATTGATGTTTTTTCAGTGGCTGTCAGAAGGACAGACAGAGGCATCTGTGTACCAGCAGGCTGAAAATGGCAAAACGGAGCTGTCCCTCATGCATTTCACCATAAAGAATCCACGGTGGCAGCCCCCTCAGGAGAGCTCAGTGTTTATCAGCCATTTAAAGGAGAAGGTGCACCATGATGCACAGGCCGGCCCCTCCACTCAGCTGCTGCTCTCAGAGGCGCCTCTCTGCACCTCGCTGCAGTCCAACGAGTCTGGCACTGGGGTAGGAACCAAGTCGATAACACAAACAGCAAGAACTACTTATTTGCTCAAAAATGATATAGGCAGCTAATGTACAAAGAAAACTCAGTAATGCAGTCATCCCTTTCCATTAGGATCATCAGTTTTTCCCTATAAATACTTAATGCCTAAACTACTAGAAATTTGATTACTGATAATGGCTTCATTATGAAATATATTGTTGTAATTTCTATTCTCATTAATTTTTTTCCTTTATTTTTTTGTAACTTTCTGACATTTGTTGTTTCCAGGCTGATAATCTTTTGGCCAGTGTCCTGGCTCACCCTGTTATAACTGCATCTGGACTGCAAGGGCGAGACCATCGGCTCATCCCACCGAGCACCGCTGCTTCTGCTGCAGCCAGCGTTCTCGCCTCTTTGTCCACGTCTCAGCTCGCGCATACCAGTCGCGGCCGGTCACACGGCCTCCTGCCCTCCTCCATCCACCCTGAGACTACCATGTACCACAGTGAGCGCACCGTAATTGACAGGTATTTTCCAATATTACATTTTATATACTTCTATTCTGAGCTTATTTATAACAAAACAATACCAAACAAAATCCAAATGCTTGTTGAAAAAAAAGTGTTTGGCTTTTTTTCCCAGTATGTCTAACAGTGACTCTCGTGTCCGGAGCAATGCACTACAGTCAGAGTTTGCCTCAGCCGAGATGAGTCTCCATGCCATCTACATGCATGAGGTAATTTCC